CCCTTCCTGTGGATCCTGCCGTCTAACAAAGTTTGCCCGCAGTATTTCCTAGACACCAACTTCCTCTTTCTCAGTGGCCTCATCATGGCATCTGCCATCGAGGAGTGGAACCTCCACCGCAGGATTGCCCTCCGCGTCCTCATGCTAGTGGGCGTCCAGCCCGCCAGGTGAAGGAGGGAGCGCGCGGGGCAGCGAGCGGCCGGCGCTGGGGAGGCCGCGGGCAGCGACACCGGCATCGCCCCCATTCCATGGAGCTTCACGTGCTTGTGGAGTTTGTTTGGGCTGGGTGTTGCCTAGGGAGAACTGTTTTGTTCGGCACCGTATTGATGCTTCTTTTGGTTATTTATGCTCACCCTGGTTGCAGAAGTGCTTTTTCCTGTTGCTTTTATGTGATTCTTGGATCTGTTCTTCTTATAGCCAAGCTATGTTAGAGAACCCCTCGAATTCAAGAAATTCAGCTTTTTCTTCTTTCTGTCTTGCAGACTAATTTTAGGAATGATGTTGACAACGTCTTTCCTGTCCATGTGGTTAAGTAATACTGCCTCCACTGCTATGATGCTTCCAATTGCAAATGCAATTTTGAAAAGCCTCTTTGGGGAGAAAGCCACATCTAAAGATCTGAACAGGGAAAATGAAGAAAACCAAGGTAACTGAGAGAGGGCAATAGTAGAAGCAATCTGAGGTCTTCACTGGTGCCAGCAAATTTGCCCCATTTCATTGCTGCCCCAAGTATCTAAGAGCAGTTTGTGCTTCTGGCAGATGGCAATGAAAAACAGCAATGCAGAACTGAAGCCCTCTTCACAGCTATTACTGATGCTGCAGGTTCTCTTGCTTGCACTAATTAGCACTGCTTTTGTTACTGCAACTTAAAGGCAATGGCTTCTTGGTTACTGCTGATTTCTAGGATAGAAAAATGAGTCCTCAGAAGAAGTCTAAAGCCTTTACATATTCTAATAAAGATATACTTAACCATCCATCATTAATGTGTAGCAATCATAAGACATTTGCTTTATCACATTTGCTGAATGAGTTGTTGACCATGCATATCTATTAAAATCAGCCCCACTGACCTTCTCGCTGTAATTTCCTGTGCTGGAGAAGTGCTGCATTTTGTGATTCCACTCTTTAACCTCCTTCATCCCTGTCCTCTGAAATGATTTGATGTGTAGTTGTTACTATACATACAGTAGCTTTTGGGAATATTTAAATCAAGATCCCCATTGGCCTAGGCACTGCAAGTGTGAAATTAATGTGCTTAGCTCATGATGCTCGCAGTGATGTGAGAAGGCAGAAAAGGCAAAGGGAGAGGGATGCGAGCAGAAGAATAAATAAAGTGTTACTTGGAAAAACTCCTATGATTACATAATGATGAGTTTTTTTGAGAGCAGAGACTTGTAAATGTGGTAAATACAAGTGAAGGAGGAAGTCATTTGTAAAATATAAAACATGAAAATGCAGGTTTTCCTGTAGCGTTTTTTTCTAGAAGTTTAGTATTTTAGGATAGTGTTTTAGGAATAAATGAGAAAAATGGGGTCCTTGAAGGAAGCCCTAAAGCTAAAGTCAGGCAGGAACTAAGAGTCTTATTTTATACTTACAGGAAGAGAAGTGAAAATGAGCTTTCTGTAGAGGTTTCCTGGCAAGTGTCATCTTCAGCCAGGACTGATGGCCCTTCTGAGATGGCGTGTCTCAGCTGAGCTTTTTCCCAGACCTGACGAAACCCTGTCACTGGGCTGTGTATGGAGGCCATCTTTGACCTTGGCATACGATAACATCAATTTGCTGATATGCTTGGGTATGCTTTAGTAGCACTGTAGTAATGATCTGAAGACTAAAAAGTGAGTTTGGATAGGCAAAAGAAATAGATTAAAAATGCTTTAGAGGTATGTAGCATTCAAAGACTTTTGATCTTTTTCAGAAGAAATCTCGAGAAGTGCATGAAATCAGTCTGTGAGTATGTAGCAGTCAGCTTCAATTGAACATATCACGCAAGAATTTAAATTATGTCTCTGATGAAGAGATCACATTTTTATGCTGCTGAGATAACGCTGAGGTTGGAATCACTCATGGCTAGGCTTCCCCATGCGTTTAGGACTTGGGGTGGTCTTAGTTGGTCACAGACCTGCAAATGATGTCTTTAAGGGAGGCAGTTGAGAAATGTGTATTTATAACCCTCCACAGCCTACCTCTGTCTGTGCTGGTGGGCAATGGCCACAGACCCCTCAGCACATGGTGGCATTGATCCTCAGGCCTCTTAAACCTTGTAGAAGCAACCAACATGTCACCAAAGCAAAAGCTTTCTAGGAAAAGCCCTTTTGCATCTAAGGTGTATTTGGGTGAAACAGCTGGGATATTGTACAGCTTTAAAGGATAATTTACAGTGAAATGCCTAATTTCTTGCTCAGGAGTAGTGGATATTTTGTCCATCATTCAGCATCTGCCTAGATGCAGAGCTAGAGAGGGAGACTGGGGGAGCTCATGGGTATGGCTAGCTGATGTTCTCCAAGTCATTAGAAAAATGAAGTGGTGCTTCAGAGGAACCAAAACATTTATTTTATTTTTCAGGATTAGAAAAAAAAATCCACTTAATTTTATCTACAGCTATTTTCTGCCTCCCCATTCAGCTTTTATTTGCTTGTACTACTTAACTGAAAAAGCTGTTATTCATTGCATTTTAAGCAGCACCTCTAGAACTGCAGGATTGATAGCCACTGATACTTCTTGTACTGCTCAATGAGAGGTCCTTATGGTGCTCGTTCAGTGGTTTTCAACCTCTTCAGGCTTTTGAACCCCTAACAATTTTCAATCCTCCTTTTCGAAGTTTAAAAGGAAAAGATTGTTCTACAGCATCTCTTTCTTTCCTTTTCATCATTGCCACTTGCAAACCTTCTTGAAGAGAGAACTCACAGGCACCATGGTCCTAGCAAGAGGAGATGGGAGTTTGGCTTAGCAAGGGAAAAACACAAAATTTCTTAAAGGTGGAATGATATATTTATCTTTGCTAGCACAACCTTGGGTGAGACTTAGATGACAACAAGTGTTGGGCAAAAATATGTTGGGGGGATTGAGTCAGCCAGGGGTTAACATTCTTGCCCTTAGTTGCATGCTGGCATCACAGCAGTGTTGGGGTGAAAGCTCAGCATGTGTGTGTGTCCCAGCCCATTAACTTCAATTCAGTAAATTAGCAATGTGTAAAACACGACACTGCAAAAC